GCACACCTGGGACAACAGCATTAATCACAGAACCACAGAATGGTTTGGGTTGGAAGGGGCCTTAAGGCTCATCTCGTTCCAAGCCCTGCCCTGGCAGGGTTGCCATTCATTAGACCAGGATGCTCCTGGCAATAATCCAACCTGGCCCTAAACACTTTCAGACATCGGACAACCTATTTCAATGCTTCATTATTCTCTTTTTCTTCCTAACACCTAAACTAAACTAGACTTCTATCAGTTTAAAACCATTGCCCCTTGTCCTGTCACTATCTGCCCATATAAAAAGTCCCTGTCTCTCCTTTTTATAAAGCCTCTTGAGGTACTGGACAGTCTACATGAAGCCTTCTTTTCTCCAGACTGAACAACCACAGTTCTCCCATGTTTGTCCAGGTCAAGAAGGTGGGGGGATGGAGGGAGCCCTTGGGCAACCACAGCCAGAGAGCGGAGTGAGAATATGTGAGAGCAACAACACTGCAGACGCCAAGGTCAGTGCAGAAGAAGGGGGAGATGGTGCTCCATGCACCAGAGAGATTCCCCTGCAGCCCGTGGTGCAGATCAGCGTGAGGCAGCTGTGTCCCTGCAGCCCATGGTGATCCATAGTGGAGCAGAAATCCACCCAGAGCCTGTGGAGGAACCCACACTGGAGCAGGTGGATGCCTGAAGGAGGCCGTGACCCTGGGGGAAGCCTGCACCGGAGCAAGCTTCTGGCAGGACTTGTGACCCTACTTCTCTCTCTGTAATGTGTCAGAATCTTTCTTACTTGTCTTTGTAACTAAAATATTTCTCTTAGCCTCAATTACCTCTCCTCTGATTACAGAAATCCTCACATCTTTCATTTATTCTCCTTGCTGCTCTTGAATCAGCTGAAATTGCCTGTTACTGTGATGACTGCACTGCCTCTTTCAAATATATTGAGAAACATGGCTTTGAATCCAGAGATATCAAGGGATACACGAACTGAGGACAAGAAGTCAAGGCCGAATGTAGTGATGACTTCTGCTGTTGAATAAAGTAAAATTAAAACCTACTGCAAATCCCAAGTGCATCGTGAGCTGCTACAAACAATGGGTAACTCATCGCAATCACTTTTCAGCAGTTTTATCAATAACCACACATTTTAGTCATTCTGATGTGTAGAGAGAGATGTCCTATTCTCTGATGAAATCTTAAAAATTATATATTGGTTTGACAGAGAATCCTGTCTCTTAAATAACTAAAATACTTTACAGTTAGCCTAGAAATTTCATTTAAGGATTAGTGAACCCTGTTTTGTCTATCAGGAGTAATTTGCCTCAATTTTGTCCACTCAGAAGTGGTTTTACCTTAATGGAAATGAAAGCAAAAAGTTCCACTTTGGTCACTTAAGAGAATCTATTCAGTGAGTAATCTTCACACGAGCAGTGACTTAGTACTGAGCATTTTAAATCCAAATTAAGCCTCGCTCTTTCTTCTCATTATCATTTTTAGCTTATATCTCCAGCTCAGGAAAACTTTCATGAATATGCTACTAATATTTGTAATTGCATTAGTATTCTAATATTCCATCAAAATAATTTCAGATGGAATACATTGAACCACTTCGCAATATTTTGTAAGATTTACTTCACTAAGGAGGAAGCTTCATTTATTAAGGAGGCTGTGGCATCTGTAACAATACCATTATGTTTCAAAAGAAGGTTTCTTCATCTTTGGTTCATATTCATGTTCTTCTCCTTAACTTTTTTTTTTTAATGATGGTTGCTAGCAAGTATGTGCAAAGCAGGGTTATTGACAAGATTATGCTGCACGGTTTGCATTAAATATTTTGCTGAAGAATCTCTCTGGTTCCTTCCTGCATTCAGAGCACTTTACAGTACTTTCTGTAACTGCAGTAAGGAGTTGGCCCACTTTTGTGGGGGTTTGGGTCTATGAAAAATCAGCTGCTTTATCAACTTATCAGGAGAGATTGTGGCCATATGCCACACTAGTGAAAATTAGGAGGTGTGAGCAGTTTGAAAATTTAAAATTATGGCATTATCTGCTTTGGCCAAAGTATTCTGTACTCAGAGTAAATTAAGCAGTTACTTCTAAACTGAATGTTTCAGGTAAGAAGCAAAAACGTAAGAATCATATCTATGAGACCAATTGGAACAACTTATAAATATTGAAGAAAAATGAATTTGATGTTTTCATAATCTAACATTTTATAAAATATTATAATAAATCTAATAATGTTTCTGTATGAAAATTCAAAGATCTCCCACTAAAACCCCTTTTAAAATTGTGTCTAGTACACTTAATCATGTTTTTGGATGGAGTGAAGAAATGTAAGTGAACAATCAAAAAAGCTGAATGAGAAGAAAATACATTCTTTTCCAAAGATATCTCAATAAGCACAATGGAAAATTCATTTTGTGCTTTGCACTGGTTATTTTGTAGCCACAGTCATTATTTTCAAGTCATTACCTTCATTAAACTAACTTTGCTTATGATTAGCCCTGTAAGTACAGTAATATCATATATATAAAATTCTGGAACTTTTTTCTAAAACACAAAACATGTATTTTCAAAAAAATAAATTTCATTAATTGAATGGTAGTTTTTCAAGGAGCTAACTTTTAAATGGTTTTAGTCGGTGGTAAGAGATGGAAAGACTGTCCCCTTGTGGACAGGAATATGAGGAAAAGTGATACTGTAATTTACTGAGAGCAGCAGTAACACCGGGTATTTTGAGTTTCCTTAGGAATTTGGCTAGAATCCTGCCTTGCACATTGCTCATAAATCAACACTTGAATGTACAAAATGCTATGGAGAGCCTTTTTATTGAAATTGGTTGGCCTGACAGACAGCAGAGGGTAAAGACTGAGCTAAAGTAAGATCCTTGTTAACACCATCAGTCCAGGCTAACACGTAAATCTAACTTCTGCAGGCAGCTGCAGCATTGCCTGCATTTGAAGAAAGGTATTTCGAGAAGGACAACCTCAGAGCAGACAATCGAGAAGGCTCCACAGCAAAGACAAAGTCTTAAGGTGTATCTGTAAAGCAGTGTGCTGCCCACATACATGCATCTGTCCAAGCCCTGCTACAGCCCCCATCACAGGCACAGCACCACTGTCCTTGCTCCAGCAGCCTCACTGACAGAGGGACCAGAGCAGGACAGACACACAGCTACCTGCAGCCACTCGTCTGTGCCTGCTGATGTTACATTTTCTGTACTGGACTTCCCTCATACATGTCATCACCTCTGACCCGTGAGAAATAGCAGAAGATGCCAGCACCCCATCTTCCCTCGGATTCAGGATAAACAGTGGTAACTTCAAATTTCTGCATGGGAAAGAAGAACTTCATGGGGCTGCTGAGATAGCAGGGGATCTTTCTCATAGGAAGTGTTCTGGTTTATGAAATCCAGTCCTTCCCTACTGCAGGCAGTTATAGCCCCCCTAACACATTCTTCTCGTTTTGCCTTTATAAAGAATTTTCTACCAATTACATGAACTACAAGAATTTTCTGAAATATCTTTAGAACCCTCACAAGTTTTGGTTTAGCCATATTCGTGGTCAGTGTATATCTATCTATTTGCTATATTATTCTTTATTGTGTGCAGCTTTTTTTGCCTCCTCTTAGTTGACTCCCTGGCAAAGAGTAATCATATTCCGTCCTAGCCTTTATTTTGTTGAACTAAGCAAGCCACATGCCTGCTGCTCTATTGTCCAAGTCAGGCTCTCAAAACACCTTCATAATGTGATGTGTCACCTGAAAGTGCCCTGTGGGCTCAACTTTTTCCACCAACAGTTGCTCAAGAATGTATTCAGACTCATCAATACACAACTTTTTTTGTCCCTAAACAGAAAACAGTTCAACTGACGCCTTCTTTGCTAGCACTGGGTTTTTTACACAGTCACATCTCAGAGATCACTCCTAAAAAGCTCACCAAGCTCAGTAGGTGATTTCATTTGTTGTTTCGTACTCCTTATTTTTCAGATTGTCACAGAAATTCTCATTTTTCCAGCAATGAAGGAAATTTCTCTGACTGAGAAACAAGTTGATGACATCCTTTGGAGATTTTCTACCACAAAGTCCTGAAAGTCACTAAGTCCAATACTGGCAAGCTTAGGTGCAGGCTGGTGTGAGAGGTGAAGGGGACATAAGCCTGAAATAATACTTGCCCTTTGTTAAGAGGACATTTGTGGAGTCAGCATCCCTAGAGGTACTTAAGAGGCATCTGGATCTGGTGCTGGTGATACAGTTTAGTGGTTTAGGGGTTACAGTGGCAGTGCTGGGTTGATGGTATGACTGGATGATCCCAAAGGGCTCTTCCAGCCTTGATGGTCCTGATTCTGTAATTCTGAATCATGCTAGGTGGGGCTCACTGAGTCATAAATGGTCCTCCACAGAAAGGAAATGTGTCACATCAACAGCTCTGGATACCTAAATTCATCAAGTTGTTGCTTGAAGGGTTGAAGGTGACAGTGTAAATTCCCATGGCAAGTCATTGCAGGCCTAGATAGACACAAATATTTGCAAACGTACATTAGCACTTTTTATTCAAACATATCCTGTTCCTAAATTTATGACACTGAATGAGTTCCGTGCCCATGCTGGCAAAGGGCCATGGCCTTATAATCTGGATAATGTGGGATTCTGGTAAAACATCCAGACACACATGCAGAAAACCTACACTGTTGATAGAGTTTTGGGTTTTTTTGTTTGTTTTGTGTGTGTGTGTGTGTGTGTGTGTGTTACAGGTCACTTTGACTGTCATATTAAAAATGAAAAAGAGGAAAGTCTTAAAACCTGTTTCCTCTGCCTCTGACTTAACGCTAGGAAGCAATGTGAAACCAGACTGTTTATTTCTGTACTTCACGGGGGAAGCGTCACGGGGGTTGTGAAAGTTCCTCGCTTCCTCCCCGGTGATGAAACTTCTTTAAAAAAAAAAAAAAAAAAAAGTGTATCTTTGCATAATTTCATAACTAGGGCTCGGGGCAGCGGTTGGAGCTGAGGCGGCTCCGGGCCCGCCCCCGCCCCGCCCCGCCCCGGCCCGGCCCGGCCCGGCCGGCACTCGGCGCCCGCCATGGCGGGGCTGGGGCCGGCCGCGGAGGCGCGGCCGCTGCTGGTCAAAATCGTGATGGCCGGAGAGTCCTGCGTCGGGAAGACCTCCATCGTGCGCAGGTACACGGAGCCCAGCTCGCCTCCCGCCGGCTCTCCCGCCACTTCGTACATGGCCACGATCGGTGAGTGCCCGCCGGCTCCCGTGCGCCTCCGCCCGCCTCGCTGCCGCCCCTCGCCCTCCCCTCCGCGCTGTCTGCGCGGCTCGGCCGGCCTGGGCGGTGTCAAACCTCCCTGCGCTGAGCTGTGCGGTGTGCAGCCGCGTCCAGCAGCTTAAACCTTTGCCGGGGTGTCAGGATATGTGTCACACTGGCTCCAGAGCCACTGCAAAGTGCTGGCTTGTTACACTGTCCCTGCTGCTCCTCTGGGCTTTGGGAACCTGGTCCTGGTGTAAACTTGTGAGACTTGTTTCTCACGGTTTCTTATTGCCCACTGAGGCCCTGCTGCTGTATGTGGGTGCAGGTGCAGAGAAAACAGTGCAGAGCCCCAGATCAGCTGGCTTGGAAATGACCTCTGAGATCATCGAGTCCAGCCTGTGACCGAGCACTGCCATGTCAAACAGACCATTCACTGAGTGCCTTGTCCGGTCTGAAACACCTCCAGGGTGACTCCACCACCTCCCTGGGCAGCCCATGCTAGTGTCTAATCATGCTTTCTGGGAAGATATTCTTTCTAATGTCCAACCTAAACCTTCCCTGGCACAGCTTGAGGCTAATTTCTCTTGTCCTGTCACTTGTTGCCGGAGAGAAGGCTAATTGCCACCTGGCTACAGCTTCCTTTCAGGTACCAACCTCAGAGAGCTGTCAGATGTCAGTAAAAAGAGCCCAGTTAATCAATATTTCAGGCTAGAAAGGGCTTTAACTTGTGTTTATAAATTTAATAGTATAAGGATATCTTCTACTATAGTTAGAAATGTGCATGGTGATTTAAACAGAGCTGTTGCTGTGATGGAAATCATTAACCCTGCCAGACCATGTCAGTTCTGCGCTGGCACCACACGCTGCAGTTGGTGGGTGATGGGGGGCTCCCCACTGCCATGGCACTCCCAGGCTCACAGTGCCATGGGAAAGGGCACCATGACTGTCCACATGCTGAAAACCTTGTCTCCAGCATTAGAATGTGTTACATGAGTACAGGGGTTTGATTTGCTGTGGACATTTTCCCAAGTCCTCATTGGGAAATTTTAATTTTTATAAGTTTGTGTGTAAGAATTTTTTTTAATTTAATTCGATTTGATTTTGAAGAGAAATCTAAATTATGCCAGGAAATTGTGTATCCCTGCATTTGGAATATGTATGGTTCATTTACACATCTTTCCATCTGGAATGAATTGGCATAGTGGAATTAAGTACCAGACAGTAGCTGTGGCAGTAGTTAGTCCGGGGAATACTTAATGTACATGAGATGAGTTGACCTATCTACATAGGAATGGCTGAACTTTAACCACTTTTTATTTTCTTGCCCTTTCTTACAAAGCAGGTTCTGAAACCAGCACAGACAAAGAGGGAAGAACAAACAGTAAAGCTAGGAAATAGATCCTAATAATAGGCAATTTGTTGCCAGGCTTAGCAGGAAAGAATGGCTATAAAAAAAAGTAACAGCTTTGTTGATGTAGTTTACGTGGAGATTCCTGACCATGAGGTTATTATTTTGAGACGTAATTTTTTTTACTCCTGCTTCAGTCCACTGCAGACTCAAAAAACTTGCATTTGCTATTAAGTATATATTTCCCAAGTTGTGACTTGAGCTATTTCAAGGAATAATGAAGATAATAGTTTCGTGACAGTTTATGGACTAACGTTAATCTCTTTAGTTTCATTAGTGACATGTATTATTGAGATATTTAAAAACTTTCTTTTTTAAAAAGCTTATCTGAAATATGAGTACTGCAAACATGGTATTTGTTACCTGAATAATGTGTTTTAAAAGTTATTTCTGAAGTGCTGTGTTTGATTTAATTCCATTTTACCGTGTGTTTTAGAGCTTGGACTTTGAAAACAAATGGGATTATGAGTGGTGTCTTCCAAAAGACTAAAGTTGGCAGTGGAAAGTTCCTTCTTCATTGGGACAGCTGCAGTGGAGAGCATGCCCTAGAGATTGTGGCTCCTAATGATGTAAAGGAAGAAGACACATAGTGTTTTCTCAGTTTGTGATGTCTCCTTCCTCACTGTTGATACCATCGGAACAAATAACTTTTTGTCTGGATGCCTGTTTCCTACAAGCTCAGTCAAATGATCCCTTTCTGTTGTACAGCCTATTAAATGCTCATCTGCTGTCAGGTGATTTTTCACTTTACCTGTCCAGTTGAAATGGTGATTTGATTAGGGGGAACATTACCCAACTGTGCAGTCTTGCAGCTTCCTGAGTTCCCTGACAAAATCATATGCCATCACCTTCCTTGGTGGCAGAGGGTCATAGGCACACAAGTTAAAAGGTGGTTGAAAGTCTCATTTCTATGTCATCATGCATCACAGATTTGTGTTACTAGGAGTGATCCTAGTGTTATTGCAGGGGGAAAAAACAGACAAACATTTTGTAGTAGGGTCCAGTAGTAGTTTTCTAAAATTATGTATTCTATGGGAAAATGCAAAAAATATATCCACAGTAAATTTTCATTGAAAGTTTTTAATGCAGCACTCAAATACTCAAGGCTGGGTGCCCTTCCTGCTCTTCCATTACATAGTTTGGATAAGTTATCAGCAGTTACAGTTTTCTAATTAAATTTATACACATCATAACTGGGAGGGGTTAAGTATGGGTTAGGAGTAACAGTGGAAACTCAACCCACCACGTCTCACTGGGCACTTGCCCAGTTTGGGCACAGGAGCTGCTAGGAACTGCTTCCCTGTTCCTGGAGTTGAAGATTCTGTATGACAGGCAGTGGGCTGGGTAGAACCTGCACAGGGGCATTCACCACCCTCTGTCTGTGCTTTCAGTGTTGCATCCTGCGAAGCTACTCAAACTTGCATTTTCTTTGGATAGACATACGTTTTTAAGCATTTTCTGTCAGGAACCCAGCAGCCTTTTTTTGGGTGAAAAATGTGTTGTAATTTTCCAGGCCAGCTGCAAAAGACCTCTTTGAAGAGGACTTCTGCAAATGGACAAAGGGAGGGAAGAGGGGGGCATTTCACAGCTGAATTACCCCGTGGCTGACTATTTTTATGCTTTTTAGACTTAATTGTCTTTAAGGTGCCTCAGTCCTAATATGGGCATTATTTACTCTTTGAAATATAAAGAAAATAAATTTTCATGGCTATAAAAGTTGGAAATAAAAACCAGAAATAGAGCTTGCACCCAGCATCCCCCTTCTTGGTTTGATTTGACAGCCTAAAAGAAGTGAGTACATGCTGTTGCATTCCAATAACATTTATCTCAAGAGCTGTAATCAATGCTTGCTTTGTTATGTTGATCATGTATACAAGGTAGGCCACCTTAAAAGCATCTGAAATCCGTGAGCTGTCTTTGGCATTGTGTATCTCATTTTTCTTTTCTGTCTTTCCAATTTGCTAAGTTTGCTGGAAATTTCATATAAAGACATGAACAATTCATGCATGCAGAACATATTGACTTCTGTTTTTCACTAACATTCATTGACCTTTTCGGTCAATAAATTTTGAAGTTGACTTAAGAAGTCAATATGCCTGATTTTAATTTAGATTAAGTTTTAGTCTGATTCAGCACTCTGCTTCCCTTTTTACAATTTTTTTTTTAAAGCTTATGGGAATTTATTATTAAAATATATGTCAACTAAGAACTTTTCCCTATAGTTCTGGGAATCCCTGTCGGAATAGAATTTTTTGCTGTGTTCCCAATGCACCATTTGTAAGTGACATTCCAGCCTCCCAGTGTATATCTGTCCCTCTCAACTGCTTCAATGTCAATTGTAGAAAATTATACAGATAATTAAACAAAACCATGTGAATTTCAGGAGCAAATGTTTTCCATCATGTTGGAATCTCACCTTATGTGAGCAAGTTTTACTTGAATCACATTTCCTTCTGACAATATTAATTCCATCAAGGAAGCTTTGTGTAATATTAATTACAGATACCAATTATATTATTTCATCTTTCCTTTTCATTGAAGCTTCAATGAAAATTCATCAAGTGAAGGACATGATTATCATAATAACTTTTAAAATCCACCTCAACTGCCTTACCACATACACGCAAAAAATGGTAATAGCATTGCAAGTGCATGCATGTGAGAGTGTACTTGTCAAAATTTTGTGCACAATACATCTGTCAGTACAAAGGAGGGGAGCATTTCCTCTGCATTTTTGGTTTGCTGCCATGGGTGCTTTCCTTCCAAAAAGTAATTTGGCTTGCACATTCTTACGGAAACACAGTTGTATGAACTTGAAATTTTTGTGATTTTTCAGTCTGTCTGGTTCCTTCAAATGACTACTACTGGTGAAAAGACACTGTAATTTTAAGTAGCTATAGTTTGATCTTTTGGAATTTTGCCCATACAGTATGGTCAGCTGTCACAATGTTACCTTAACTTCATTTACTGCAATTGACAAAAAGACCCTAATTGTTTTTCAGTGGGGGAAAAAAGCAATCATGGAAATTATCAAATTTGTTTCAAACTTCAGCAATGAAGTAATAGGGGAAACAATGCTTTACTCTGCAAAAATACGTCACTCTAAGATAACTGATAGCTGGCAGATTCTAATTTTAGAACTGGAACTTACAACAGCTCATAAATCTAGGTATCATCTAACACATCTGCAGTACTAATTTGACAGTTTAATAAAGGAAACACTATAAATCATAAGGAAGATATCTTTGAGGAAGGATCTGTAGTGTACGCAGAGAGAGCATTCTGCATTGATTTTAAGTGTTAATGCTTGCTTTTAGCATTGGCTTCCTGGATCTGATTTAGGCTGTAGAGCCAGTCCTGTTCATTTTGAATTAAAATCCCATGTATGTTTGTCTTTGCACTTAATGTGTACAGACAAGTCCTATTTCTGCTCCTGTACACCTGGATATTTTTTTTAGGGATTTGGAAGTAAGGACAGAAAAATTGTGATGCACATGTGACAGCTGCTTTGTAAGCATTTTTACCTTCCCACTCATAGCTGCCATGCTGTTGAAAATCACCAGTGTATTTGCACAATGTACTGTTGTGCATCGGCCATGAAACTGCTGTCACATCCCTTGCCACTTGTAGTTTCAGAGTATCTTCGCCTTTGCTTTGACCTGCCCTTTCTTTGCTTGGTGTTGTCATTGCTTTGTACTGTATTTGTGCAATGTATTGGCACTCAGCAGTGAATAATTTCCTTTTAAAGCTTCCATTTTGAATGTATGTGGTTGGCTAGTTATTCTTTCTATGGTATTGTTCCTTTTCACTTTCTGTTTGAAACTGTGTGATAACTAGAGCTGGGAAACAATCTTCAAAGGGAATCCATGTTATTATGAGAAATGTTACAGATTTTCCTTTTTTCTTCTAGGCATTGATTTTAAAGTAAAGCCAGTAATGTTTAATGATACAAGAGTGAAACTTCAAATATGGTAAGTTTTAATTAGTATCACAAAAGAAAGCCAACTAGATTGCATTATGACGCGAAAAATCTCACCTACTTTGAATTGTGTGTCTTCATAGTGTGCAGGTGCTCCTACTAGATAATTTTAATATTTGAATTTAGCATGGGAGAGTATATTTTTTTGCAGTAACTAATGGAAGTTAAAAAGAGGGCTGTCACCGGGTTGTGTTAACAATAAAACTTGCAGCATACAAACAAGTGCAGATCTATGATCCGTATGAAGTGTATTTCATTGTATAGGAACATTGAGGAAAGTGACAAAGCAAGAAGATGTTACATTTCATTACCCATCAAATGTATGTTCAAAAGGGTCACCAAGAGAAATTACTTTTGATAAGATGAATCTTTGGGAACATACACTATTTTTGGTATTGAAATTTTTCTAAAGGTTATGTAGGGCTTCTGACATGTGGCTCTCCAGGCATCTAATACTGAAGATTATCTCTGTATATCGGTATTTAACTTGTCAGGGAGTAAATCTTTATATGAATTATCTGACCGGTATTAGATCTGCACTTATTTCATCTCAGGCATTAATACAAAAATAATCAAAGCTTGTTTATAGTTTTCTTAAGGCATAATTCAAAGAATCATAGAATATGCTCAGTTTGAAGGGGCCCATCAGGATCATTGAGTCTGACTTCTGGCCTTGCACAGGACACTAAGAATCACACCATGTGTCTGAGAGCATTGTTCAAATGCTTCTTGAGCTTTTGTCATGGTCAGTGGGTGACAAAGGTTTTTCTCTGGGTGAAAAACCTTTTCCTGATAGCCAGCCTACCTGCTCCTGACTCATCTTCAGACCATGTCCTCAAGTCCTCTCGTTGGTCATGAGAGTGATGAGATCAGTACCTGCCCCTCTGCTTCCCGTTGTGAGGAAGTTGGACTGCAATGAGGTCTCCCTTCAGTCTTCTCCAGACTGAACAAACCAAGTGACCTCAGACACTCCTTTTATGGCTTCCCCTATTCTCATGGCCCTCCTTTGGATGCTGTCTAAGAGCTTAATGCATTTTATTAGATTGTGGTATCCAAAACTGCCCCCAGCACTTGAGATGAGGCTGCCCCAGTGCACAGCAGAGCGGGACAATCTCCTCCCGTGCCTGACTGGTGCTGCTGTGCCTGATGCACCCCAGGACAGGCTTGGCTCTCCTGGATGCCAGGGCACTGCTAGCTCACATTCAAATTGCCAGTGACCAGGATCCCCAGGCCCCTTTCTGCAGCCCTGCCTTCCAGCAAGTCATTCCCCAGTCTGTACAGAACCAGGATTGCCCAGGTGCAGAATCTACCACTTACCCCTGTTAAACTTCATGCAGGTGGTGATTGCCCAGTGCTCTCATTTGTCGAGGTCTCTCTGCAGAGCCTCTCTGCTCTGCAGGTAGTCAACAGCTTCTCCCAGTTTAGTATCTTTGGCAAACTTACTTGGTGTCCCTTTGAATCCTGCATCCCAGTGGTTAATGAAGATGTTGAAGAGAACTGGGCTGAGGATGGAGCCCTGCAGAGCCCCACTAGTGACCAGACCCAGCCTGATGTCACCCCATCCACTGTAACCCTTTGTGCCCAACCTGTGAGCCAGCTGCTCACCCATCACTGAGCATGGTTATCCAGCTGTGTGCTGAACATTTGGTCTGGAGGGTAATGTGAGAGACAGTACCAAAAGTTTTGCTGAACTTCAATGAGGTCATATCTTAAGCTTTCCTAGATCAACTAGGTGGATTACCATTTTATAGAAGGAAGTCAGGTTCAACAAGCAGGACTTTGGCCTGCTGTGCTGTCTGTGGCCAATGACTGTGTTGTTGTCCAGGTTTATCTCCCAGAATAATAGTTTTCATTATTTTACTGGGCACTGAAGTGCGACTGACAGGCTTGTAGTTTCCAGGGTCTTGCCCTTCTTGAAAACTGTGACAGCTTTACCCAGCTTCCAGTCAGCTGGGACGTTTCCAGATGCCCAAGACTGTTTAAAAACCAAGAGAGGCTTTGTGATTACATCAGACAGCTTTTTGAGAATTCTCAGATGAATTCCATCAAGCCTCATGGATTTGTAGGGATCCAGCTGGAGAAGCAGATCCCACACAATTTCAAGGTCGACTGGGAGTTCATCATTCACACAGTCATGGTCCTCCAGCTCAGGGTGCTGAGACCCCCTTGGTCTGTCATCTGTCTTGTAAGACAAAGAATGCATTAAACACCTCTTCTTGTCCCTCTAGGTGAGGTGACCATCCTCATCCTATAACGAGCTGATGTTATTTCTACACTACCTTTTGCCATTCATATATTTGAAAAAACTTTTTATTATCTCCCATGTTTCTGTCAGCTTCAACTCCAGTGTAGCTTTGACCACACAGATTTTCTCCCAGCAGTGGCAAACAGAATCTCTATAGTCTTTCCATGTCACCTGACTTTGCTTCCAGGGCATGCACCTTCCTTATTCATTTTACTTCCCATCAGGTTTCACTCGTGCCAGTGATGTCATGTCTCTGGGACTGGGACCAAGCTTGGAGCTTGTCTCATTTGTTTCTCTTGCTTGGTGTAGTAGTGTAGAAACATTTGAGGTATGGTACTTTGTAGCCAGCATCTCCTGAAGCAGATTGAGGGATCCCATTTGTATTTGTTTTCTCAAGTTTTGGCATTATGTGTAAGAACCACCGTGTCCTTATATTTTATAGCTTTTTCCCAAAACCTGTCTTCCATCTAAACCAGGTTGTTGTTTTTATCACAGTTTACAAAGGGATTGTCAAAATATGGGGATGTTATCTGACATGTGATCTTTTTATCACCTGAATTATTTATATAAAGAAGGAATGGTGGGCTTGACCTTATTCTCAGGTTTCAGCCACTGGCTTGGCTTCCCTAGTAGGGCTGTATTATTCAGAATAAATTTCCAGGGTATTTCTTTTATTGCTATATCTGGCACCCAGATTTTCTGTCATCTGTGTTTTTTCTTGTTCCTTTGTGTTAGAATACATCATTTAAAATTTGGACAATACTCCTTAAAGTAAAGTAATCTTTCTTGAGGATTCTGCAGTTTGATGATCTCTTTTTTGTCTGTTTGTTTGTTTGTATGTGTGTGATTTGTTACAATTTCCTTCAGGGATACTGCTGGCCAGGAACGGTTCCATACACTTAGTACCAGCTATTTCCGTGGTGCACAAGGCTTTGTTCTCGTATATGACATCACAAATCTGAAGAGTTTTCAAAGTATAACAATCTGGATAAATGACATATATGAGGTAAATATATCTGTCAGCATTTGATCACTAAATGAAGGTAATTAATGTGTCATTTTAAATGACTGCATGAGAGGTATTCTTGTTCCTGTATGTTTCTAACCAGAATTTCTTCAATTTAACTCAGCACACAGTATGATAGTAGAATTACTGTCAGCTGAAACTGGAACATGGTTTATATTTAGGCAAGGATGTTGATGGAGGAATGTTTTCTGAAGTACTTCTAAAACATAGCTTGCAATCCCTCTTTGTGCATGCTGCGTTACGGTGCTCTTGTCACTGGTGTGGCTATGCATAGATCAGTCTGCATGAGCTCATCCTGGGATTTTAATTAGATTCCATATCAAAATTCCATATCACAGCCAGTGATTTCCCTTTCCTAATTTCATTACTTCAGTGTAGTTACCTCATCCCAAGATCAAAGGAATTAAATATCCTCTTTGTCCTTGCTACATATTCCTGGAGGAGGATGGTTTCAAGAGGGAGGAAGTGGGGTGGGAGGCTGTTTGGTTAGCTCAGCTGCTCGTGATGCTGCAGCCAGAAATACGTGCTTTCATGTGACATAGGAAGTGATTCAACAGCACATGGCTGCCAGACAGGGTATGTGTTCCCACTGGAGCTTGTCTGAACCCTCTGTGCTTCACCCTGACTTCCTAATGTGGTAGAAAACTAACACAGCAAAAGAAGTTGAGTGGTTTTTCTGCTCTATTAGTGAGTTTGAGAGGCTCATAGAAAGGTCTGACACTTACTGGAGCTGCAGTAAGGTAAGCAGGTAGTAGAAGGAAGGCCAGAAGAAGGATGTCTGGAAACAATGTGAAGGGATGGAGGCATGGGCAAGCCCATAGACAGGAGATCATTGAGCTGACTCTAACCCTATATTCCAAGTCTTTTTGGTAGGTCTCTCTTGATGTGTTCTCTATTAGATAGAGGCAAGGCAGTTTTAGACTAGAATAGTTCAGCTGTAAGGGACCTTCAGTGATCATCTAGTCCAGCTGCCTGACCACTGAAGCACTGACCAAAAGTTAAATGATGTTGTTAAGAGCATTTCCAGATGCCTCTTTATTTGGCTTGGGGAATTGACCATCTCCCTGGAAAGCCTGTTCCATTGTTTGACCACTGGCTGAGTAAAGAAGTGTTTCCCAATGTCCAGTCTGAATATCCCTGGCACAACTTTGAGCCATTCCCATGTGTCCTGTCTCTTGATACCTGGGAAAAAAAGATCAGTATCGTTCTCTCTACTTTCCCTCCTGAGGAGGCTGTAGGGAGCAGTGACATTTCCCCTCAGCAGCAGCACAGCAGTTTGTAGTTAGTGTGCTTGTGGAAGTTAGTGTAAGAATACAAGCAAGGTAGTGCTCTCCATTGATCAAAATCAAGTAAAGTTTCAGGCAGGTTTTTAAATACTCTTGTGATTTGGTGGGGATGGATGGGAAAGGGGGCTTTTCATCTTGGCAAAAGGGGCTTGAAATAAAACTATTAAATGCATTATTTTCTCTCTTCACTGCTTCAGTATACAGCTGAATTAATGAATTACACATGATCGTATATACAATAATATATATGTGGGATATCTTACACCCTTAGGAAATCATTACCTGCACATTACCTCATTTTTTAAAACATTAGTCTGGTAACCTAGTAAATCATTGTTTTTGACCTTAGAGCCATCTTAAAAGTCTTAGTGGTAACAGAGCCTAACTTCAGTAAGGTGTTACAAAGGAGATTCAATGACACAATATTTTTACCGGCTTGTCTGCACAAACTTTAAACTAACACATCTGTTTTCTTACTTTTCTAAGAAAAGCATGTGCCTTTTTTCTGTTGGCCAAAGAAAAGTCACAGCTAGATATGTTACTGGTTGTACAGTTTTATGGTTAACAAAGATTTAACTCAGCAAACAGTATGATAGCAGTTTTACTGTTACCTGAAACTGAAGACGTAGATTATCTGCATATATCCATTTCTGTCTGTCTGTCTATTATCTATCTCTCTCTCTGTATTTCAACATAAAATATTGTTCTGGCTTCACACTGGCTCCGAAAGGGTCATATTGTCCTGTCATCTTCAATTAGCTCAACAGGGCGATTGATTCAGTGGGCTACAGTGCACAGCCATAAAGAGCAAGAAGGTATCAGGGCTGCATGGCTAGGGTGGAGGGTAGGAAGAGACTAGCTCCTGTGGCCACCATGCAGGTTTAGATCTGATTTAGTCAATCAGGAAATGACACCTGCACAAGCCTGCTCTCTGTTTGTGACATTTGAAAAGCTTTCATGTAAATGTACTCAAGGTATTAATACTGTTTAATCTTAACCCTTGAAGGTACTTCTGTTAGTTTAAAGTTTAAAAAATGGAAAAATACTCAATCTACAACAATTTCTAGGAATGTAAATTGCATGATTGATTGTACCAATCTCAAAACTAGCAATTAGAGTTGTAATAGAGCTAGATAGTAATAAAAAATTTAATTTAGTCCTAGTGGGATATCAATTTCTGAAGTGCCTTGGTGAAAATATATGGGGCTATTCATTGCAAAAGAAATGTTTTTAAGCAATAACTGTTAAAAGACAGGGCATTTCATGAAAATTAATTACTTCCTGGAGGTCGGTGACATTCCTTGCACTTGCTTTGGTCTGTGAATGTAAACCAGTATTTAATTCCCTGCAAATGCCCAAAATCAAAGTGACTGTTGCTACAGCACCATTTAAAATATATAAACGTAGAAAAAATAAATAAGTTTTTCAAAGGGAAACAGAGAGAATACAGACTTTACTAAATACCAGACGAATAGGTGAAAAGCTTGCACCTGAAGCAGTCAAACAGGAATTTTGGAGGCAATCCAGTTATTACATTATGCTCTCATTTTTTGGTTCTTTGCACATAAAGATTTTAAACAGGAAGTTTTTTAAAAATCTGTTCAGTGTGCTAAGCCATTTTTGCAACAGTTGAAAATAACAATCCAAGCAATTTAGTATTCTTAAAAACTCCCATTGATTTTATAAAAACTGGCCAGTCAGTGCAATTACAACCAGATTACCAGTAATGTTCTCATTATATTTCATTTAGTTTAAGTGTGGAATACAGCAGCTTCACTATTAAAAATGAATTATTGTCCAAGGAAGTACAAGACACAAATATGCTTCCATGTCTGTATTGCTGTAAAATTTGAGTTCAGAACTAGAGGAAACTAAGTAACATAACTTTTTAAAAGCTTGTGAGAAAAATGTACTCAGGCACAGATTAATATTTTAGGACATTACTGGAAAATCCAGTATAGGCATATTGGATTTGTAATGCATTCATTAGGAGCATGATAATTGCAGGAAGATAACTTTAGAACCTGAAACCATTCTTTATTTGTAGAATTGCAGATTATGTCCAATTTATTAAAGTGTTCTTCTTGTTGACATGGCTTTTAGCTACTGTATGCACCTGTTCTGAAAGGCTGATGCTGCTTGGCTTTTGAAAATTAAATAAATACAAGCAGCTGTGTACCAAATCATTTTGCAGAAAACTGGTTTTTTTCCATCATGTTTTGAACTATATTCCAACTAACACTGGCAAAAGGTTCCTCACAACAGAGTGGTTCAAATGCTCAAATAGGTACCCAGAGAGGATCACTTAAAGATGGCGCTTAAAACTCCATTCAACAAGGCCTTGAGCAGCCTGACCTGGTTTTGAAGTTGACCTGTCTTTGAGTGGAAGACTAGACCAGCTGACTTCAGAAGTCCTTGCCAACTAAATCACTCCAATATTCACACATGGCATTTGGGTCTCCAGAAATGGTTGACATAGATGGTAGGTCTTAATTTACTTCTAAATATCTTGAATTTGTTTTAATTGTGCTAGTCTTCTGATGTGGCCATCAAGGTGGCAATACCAGCTAACAATTATCCCTGTGCTGGAAATTGTCTGCCATCACAGAATTTTCTGCATGGAGAAGATAATTTTCTTTTCTTAAGCAAGTCTTGGTGACGGTAGTTTAGTGATTTTTAATACATTAACTTTGTATTTGTCCTGCCTGAAGAAGTGATCCCTCAACCAGGAGGGATATGAACTCTATTGTTGAGTTGCTGTCATTTCTGCATAGTGCCCTTTTTTGGTTTGGTTCCTCTGGTGCATTTGGGAGACTAGACTGTCTTTCAGCATCATGCTTAAATAAAAGCAGCACAGCAAACTGCTTTACAAGTGCAAATTAGTTTGACTTGAAACTCTTCTCAGTTTTTCTTCCTTGGGTGGGAAAACTTGATGTCAAAAGATCAAATTGTCCCAGTTCATAGATATGTTTGTCATTATGCCTCTGATTAGAACTTAAAATTCTTGCTTTTGTCATTTATTAAATTGGTTTGTCTGTAGTCTAGGTTGGCTTTGGGATAAATTGGTTTATATCTACTGCATTCTAAATTTGCTAGTAGACAAATAAATTTGATCATTCATTTGTTTCCACTGAAGTCCTGGAAACCAGGTATTTGTAATTGAGGTGGCACTTAAAAAAATATGTGGAAAGACAACATGTTTGGCAATCCTAATATGAACACTGCCCATGTGATGCTTTCAAAGAGACTCTGAGGACAATCTATTTCTAACAAATTGTTCTTCAGTACTACAAAGGGTAGGTTTCTGGTGTCATTGTCTAATGAGTAATAAGAAGTTTCCCAGTTTTATGGCCTTCTCCAGCTCCGCCTTCATCTTGATGTTTGCCCATGTACGTCTTCTTCAAATGTGAAAAGCTACATTTCTGCCTCAAATACAGACTATTTAAGAATTCCCATAGTTTATTTATCAGCAATGTTTCTCAGTTTCACTCTTTGGACCTACAAACAAAATTATGTTGCCTTTTCAAACTGTAATTAATGAGTAATCAATGTCAAGCTACACCCAGGAGGTGTGGGGAGGAGACAAGGTGGTGTTCTGGAAGATGTACCCCTGGATAGATAGCTTTATATGAGGACTCTGGGTGAGCTCATAATCATTATGGGGAGTTCGGTGCAGGGAAGGTTGGGATCATTCATGGTGGGTCTGTGTTCACCATTTAAGAAGTGAAGGGATAGTTTTTTCCAATAGTCTGTAAGTACAGACACGATGTAGTTTTCTCATAGAAAAGGTGTCTGTTACTTTTCATACTCACGTAAATTCACAGCACTTCTGGAAAATAAAAACTGTAGGAAAAAAAAAAAAACCTAACATTTGAAAAAAACCCCACCTAAGCCCCATATAAATTACATACAAAAGAGATGAGCAAGATATTTTTGCTTTTGCATTTTTGATTTCTGTTAATAGCCTCATAGTAGGCTGTGTATTTCCCTGGCTGGGTGGACATTAAGCAGGGGGGTGAAGGGCATGGGTGGGTGGGTCCTATCAGTAGTGGGCTACAGAAACTGGTACTGTGATGTGAGTGTCCAGTGTTCCGAGTCCAGGATGTGGCACCGCTGAATTTGAGGCTCTGCTGCTGCTCCCTCCCGTGGCCACTGCTCAGAGCAGCCTGGCTCCTGCTGCTGCCACATCCAGCTGCCTGAGAACCCAGTGGAAGAAAAACCCTTCTGCCAAAACCTGGCGACTCCAAGCTGTGCCAAACACTTGAAAAGACATAGTCTGTCTCAGTAAATCTTTTGGCTCCATTTTTTCAGAGAAATACAATGATGATGTTTTCCTTTTCAAAATAAAGTAGTGTAGGTATCCTCCAGGTTCAGATTATATTCATTTTAACCTTCAGTAAAATGTGAACTTGGAAATGTTAAAATGCAAAGAAAAACTGAGATAGTGAACCAAAAATTGGCATTTTTGAGATACCAGAGTAAAATTTTATCTGGAAAAAATTATTTCTGCCTTGATGAAATTATGATTTTGATTAGTACTTTTCCATAGTATGGGGGGAAATGTTTCCTGAGTCTATGAGCTTACTCAGTGCTGACTTGCATAATAGGATTTTAACTGTAAAATAACCTTCATCTTTTTAGCTATAGATTTTGTAAAGCTTATTCCTGAGCTATAAATAACAGAGCATGAAAATATACAGCAAGCTTTTGGAAGCACTGAAAAGCCATCTTTTTGACCAGTTGAAATCAGCGTACCCGTGCAGTTTTTATGCCAGCTGAGCGCATGGTCAAACTATGGCCTAGTTATATTGACTTAATTTTTTAAGACCTCATCAGTTTTCAGAATTTAAAATGGAAATAATTTTGACTAACAATCTTCAGTTTTCTAAATGCATGAATCTGCAAGATACCATCTTTTAAAAAGGAGAATTATAAGTGCTTTGGTGGATGATCCAGACAAAGTGAAAATACATTAATACATTATATTGATGTAGAAATAGTAATTATTTGCAGAAGTAAATACTTTGTGATTGGTAGTACTATTGAATACTTGCTGAAAGGCCTAGTACCTCAAACCTTATTTAAATGTTGTTATTGTTTGAAGCTGTTTAGAAAGAACGTTCCTACTGCAAAATTTTGTGTTGTTAATACAGAAATTAAGTTACAGAATGAATTTAGTTGGTTTGTGCATGCAGTATGCAAGTATTTCCCTCTAGACTTCAACTTCACCGTGAAGTCAAATGTCACTTGTAAAACCTTCATCAACCTTCAGTATTCTTCCAAATTAAAGGTTGATTACATAATGAGATTTAATTGTCTATTTACCCTATTTTGGGACTGATATATGTGGTTTTATGTAAGAGAGCCACTGATCTAAATGAGTGAAGCTTCTATGCATTCTGAAACAGCCAATATTTTGGTCTATTAATACAGGTTAGAATAATTCATTATTTTAGGCCTCTACTTTGTACTCTTATGAAGTTTACTTCATTTTAATTAACTGTGGGTATGAAATAAGTCTAGATGACTCTAAGAGGAGAATGGATTAAGAAAAAAGAAATAGTGTTCCTTAATATTAAATTGTGCCTACTGATGAAGTCTTAAAATTGTTGTGAAAGTAGAAATAGACTAAAAATAGTGTTCTCTCATCCTTTAATGAATAGAGGTTTTTCTCTGTATGGTTGTGATGGACTTTGTCTTATGGCAAAGTTACAAAAGTTAAGCATTTGACAGAGATCAGAGATTTCATCAAAGTCCCTATAGAGAGATCTGCAACCTGAGACCAGGCTTTTTGAGTCATCAGGAAAACTATGGGAGCATGTACCTCCAGAATAAAAACCATGGCATCAGACTATAGTAGCTTCAGTTGTTTGTAGATTGAGAGTCTCAGCATCTTCCATTTAAGCACCAAAAGCAGTTTTAAATATTATGGTTTTCACAACGAATGTCAGTTTTCAAATTCCACATGCTGTTGCAGAATTATTCCCTTTCCTTGTCATTATTCCAGTCACGTATAGTTACAATGACTTATCTTAAAATAACACTGATGTAAAAAACCAAGTGCAGTTCACAGTCATCATGCAGGCGAGTGGATTAGAGGAACAGAGAAGGAGACAAGGTCAAAAAGGTAGATTTTTCTTCCTTTTGAAATCAATGAGGTTTTTAAATTTTACTTCATTAAAATCTATTGCCTTCTTCCTAGTGTCTTGGAATAATCAGGCTTTTATGTTAAGTTTGAACACTTTGAAAGTAATTTTACTGTCTGGGTGCAAAAGTGAAGCACAGAGAGGTGCTCTTTCAGGTGCAGCAAATTCCTTTCCTTTTAACTTGTGAGTGCTGGATGTAGAGCAGAGTCATATGCTAATACATGAATCTATTAATTTTAGTAGGCCAGTGTCTGTGAATTCAGGGCATTTCCAGTCACTTTAAAGCCTCAAGCTGGAGCATTCATCAGAAGATGGTGCCCATGCACCATATACTTTATATCTTATGAAAGAGGTTGGGAATTACATGTGGCACTTCCAAGTAGCTTTTTCTGCTCTTTGCATCTTTGCTGTTTTCCTCCAAATCCCAGTAACTGGTGGAAAATATTTGCACAGATGAAGGTCATGAGAGAATTTAGCCTTTACTTTTAAGGAAATTGAGTGCTGAAGGTTAGTGTGAGCTGAAGGTGAAGGGCTTTTGTTGTTTGCTTTTTTCTTACTTGACATTTATTAATGCTGGTTCTCTTTTAGAAAGCAGGTGATGAAGTGGACGTAATACTGTTGGGCAACAAGTGTGATAAGGAGTCAGAACGGGTAGTTCCAAAACAGAAAGGAGAAAAGGTATCTTTAGTATTTTCTTTGGGTCCTCCTGAGTTTCTTAGAATGTGATTGAGCTGTTAAACTGAAAATGGTACAAAGCTCCTCAATTCCAAAAATCCTGTTAGGACTTGGCTCTCGAAGAACAGTTGTGAAGTTCTGGAGTGCTAGAAAGACATTAAGTAATCCCTTGCTGATCTCTTCAGAATACCGATTTTTCTTTTAAAGGTTAAAATGTACTTTAAAAGTTTTAGGTGCTAAAACAGAAATCTTATATAGTCTGCATTTTCAGAGTACTGTTGTATTGTAGAATATTAAAATGAAATACATTCTGCATAATTTTTCTGATACCACCCATCAGTGATATTTTTGCTACAGTCTGACTATAGAGAACTATTCTGGCAGCTTGTGCAAAGTGATGTGCATTGTCTCTTGAATAGCCTTAGATAAGACTGGACAAATACTGAACATCCAGCTCCCCAAAACTGTGTATGTGATGTATAGTTGACTCTGCTGCAGTAGAGTTTCTAGCTGCTGATCTTGGGTGGCAGAAGAACTTACTAAGTGGGGAGTGCTGTTCTGAAGGGAATGGCAAAAGTCTCTCACTGAGAGCCAGTGAGGAAATTTGGAAGCCATGCTATGACAGAAGAAATTGGGATAATAATTAAATATTGCAGGACAGAGTGTCCTATATGCCAGTAAATTTTGCTACTGCAAACTTATGCATCTGTTCCCTGGAACTTGGAATTAGCCTTCCTGTTATGCTTTCAGGCATGGTGAGTCAAGCAGGATGCCTCATGTTTAAAGAAAAACACACTGATAGCTTCTTGCCAATTATATAATCCCAGATCAGGAAGCTTTTAAAAAATAACATCACCTTTTGGACAGCATTACATTCCTGAGAGTTCATAGTTCACATGCAAGATGCTTTTGGTGTTAATGTACCATATCTGAGTACAAGAAATGAGGTTGCTGAAAAATACATGTAGTCTCACACAAAGGATGCACTGTCAGAAACCTAGAGTCACTGGATGTGTGTGCACCAGAGGGCAGTAGTAGGGTTTTGCTTAGGGTATTAACCGTGACATTTTCTGACTTCTGGGTTCTTAACCATGCAACCAAAATTCCTCTTAATGTAGTATTTTTTTCAGAAAGAAATCATTATCTCCTCCCCCGTGAGTCTGCTTTCTAGATTTCATCTGTTTTGAGTCAAGGCAACTCTTCTGTTATACTATTTCTTCTTTTAATATGATTTACAAGTGCTAAAGGATCTGACTGAATGTGCTGGAGAAAGATTATGTTAGCAAATAGAGAGAGAGACAGTTATTGTCCTCTCACTCTAAAGAAGAAAGTATCCTAATTAAGAGGGGAAAACAGTTTGATTCTAACTTTGACAAATAATAATTTGTAGTTACATATTTCATATTACCCTGATAGAATGAGCTTTAAGTGTTGTTCTGTTCAGTGTCTTGCACAGAACAACTCCAAGTTCCCTGGGAATCTCACCATCTATATTGGCATTTCTGTAAAAACCTGTTATAACTGAGTGGTTGTTGTGCATGGTTACATTTCAGTTTAATGCTGAGAGATTTTTTTGTTCTTTCTTTTTGTACAAAATCATGTAATAATTCATTTTGTACAAACTTATGTAATTGTGATCACTCAGAAATTGAGATACTTAATTTTAACACTATGAAGTATAATTTTCTTGTATTAATTGTTTCTTATTCACTTAGCTAAAAGTTCTAACTCAACCTTCTTGGGTCCTCTGTTCACCTCCCAATATGATTATCTTTTTAATTCAAAGATAAAAATGCTGAAGGTTATATGAATTGGTAGAATGTGGCTGGTTTTCTTCTATCAAATCTTTCTAACAGAAAAAACTAAAATCTTCTTCCTTTTTTTTTTTTTTTTTTTTTTTGCTTTTGCTGTCTTCATAGCTGAAGCTGATTTATAGTTTCAAAGCTGATTTTTGACACGTAATAGAACTCTGCACAGTTTTGGAATATTTCAGACGTATCTCTCTGATTCAGCACTAAGAAATCATACCAGCACTTTGCTAGGAAATAGTATTAGCATTACTTATTTTATTGTTGTTGGTAAGATACAAGCTTATTTCATACAAGTTCTCCAAAATGTTATCAAGGATATTATAAAATGTCATTTCTCAGTAGCATAATTCCCACAGGTTTGTAAATGTATTTAGGTATTTTATTTATGGATCTATTCAAGATGCTCCCAAAGGGAAAAAAAAAAAAGTAGTAGTTATTTGAATATGCTTTTCTATTGTCTTTTGGAGAGTGGGTAGCCAAATACATGTTCATACTTTCAACTGCTTTACCACTGGACCAGTGGGGTTTTTTTTCACTGAGCTACGTTTTTGGAGGACTTGCTTGCCAGAGAGTTTAGCAGTATGCAGGGTAAAGTTAAAAAATACATACATTAATCTCCTATGACCAATATTATGCACATACAGAGAAAATGGGGGTGCATTGATAGATGTAGTGGGCAGTGTAGTAACATGACACAGAGAAGGCTCAAGTACTCAACTTTTTTTTATTTTATTTTATTTGATTTTTCTTTTCTTTGGTTTTCACAAATAGAGCTTGCTCCCAGGCCTCTGCAGCTCCCTGCTTGGTTTGGGAAGGAGCAAGTCAGCCAGCAGTGGGAAAGCTTTGGATTAGAAATTGTTTAGGAAAATTGGATGTGTCCATAGACATGATGAAGTTCTCCCAGTTGTGCTGAAAGAGCTGATCATTGTGATTTGAGCCACTGTCAATCAACTCTGAAAAATCATGGTGGTTGGAAGAAATCCTCCCTTTTGATGCCATGATGTGTCTTTCAAAAAAGCCAAGGAAGAAGATTCAGGGAAGTATAGGCAGTCAGCCTTGCCTCAGTCACATTGTTTGGCAACTTCATTGGTGATTTGGCTGATGATAGAAGGAGATTTGCATACGACATGAAATTTAGGGGTGTGACTGGCACACCACATGGGACAACACAAATTCTGTGGGACCTTGATAAACTTGGGAAATGGGCCAGTGGAAACATCGTGAAGTACATGAAGTGCAAAGATTTGCACCTGTAGTGGAATAATCCAAGGCATGAGTCACTGCCCTGCCACAAAAGACTGATGAGTTACAATGAACACCAACTTGAATATAAGCAGTATTCCCTCATGGCTTTAAAGGTGTTGGGCTGCATTAGAAGGATAATGGATGGTGGGTCTGGGGAAATTATTACCCTCCTAACTTAGTGCTGACAAGGCCACATGGAATATTGGGTCCAGCTTTGGCTCTCCCATTTCAAGAAGGGTGTTGAGAAACTGCAGCTGGTCCAGCAGACAGGTATAAAGGTGAATGGGATCTAGTACTGGTATTCCATGAGGAGAGGGAGCTGGGTAAAGAGCAGGCTAAGGAGCAGTTACTGCTCCACAGCAACTGAAGTGGCACTAAAGGAATGACAGAAATAGACACTTCTCGGTAGAGACAGACAATAAACAGATGGGTAGCAGACACAAATTCTGGCTTTGGAGGTTCAGGTTGGAGTTGAGGAGGACCAGTTGCACTAGGTCATTTATGTAGCCATGGGAGAGGGTCCCATAAAGGCTACAGAATCTCCATCACTAGTGGATTTCAAGACTTCTGTAAGCAAAGCCACTGCTGACCCAATATTGCGTGGGCAGTAGCCTTGTTTCAAGTGGGGTTGTCTTTCAAAAATATTTCTGCAATTCCATCATTAAAAGGGTTGGTTTGTGTTCATCAAAGTTTGTATATAGGTAACTTCTAGGAACATGTTACATTGTACAAGGAAGGAAAAGGGCATTTAATAGTAGCTTCTGTGTACTTTATAATCAACAAGACAGTAGTTCTCTCTACTTTATTAGCCCAGTATTCTTTTATTGGTTTTTCTTTATGAACCTTTGTGCATCATTGTTTTGTACTGGCAATAGTTGAATGATCTTAACTTTCTGTAACAAGTTACTGCAGTACCAAAACCAGTTCACAGCAGTCCACTGAGTTTCAGAATCCCTTATGAAGTTATGAAGTGGTCTCTGGCTAATGAATCAGTTAGATCTCATCTTTATTTTCAGAACTACAATTTCTTGTAGCATTTTGGAAAGGAAACCATTTTGCTTACTTTGTTTTTGTTTTTTTACCTTTAGTGTAATATTTATTATATTTTGACTAAAACTCTGAAGTCTGATTATTGTATTGCGTTGGGGTTTTTTTAATTCATGCCAACATAACTCAAAGCTGTCTGTAATGGAAATACAGTGGAAATAAGACAACAGGAGTAAATTAAAGAAAACCAACCAATGTAAAGTCTATGCTGCCCGTCTAAGTATTTTCTCTCTTTGCCTTTTACTGTATCATTTTACATGCATATATTTTCTTTGCTTGCCTGTTATCTCTGTGCTTCTCTCTGTCTAGCATAAAGGAACATCTCTTTTTTATATTTCATCCTGCTACTTTTTTCCAACAGTTCTTGTCATATTTTTGTCTGCAGGCACTCCATTAGTTCCCTCTAAGTAATTGCTTAGGAGACAGTTCATTTTCCAAATAAATCAAAACACTGAGAACAGACCCACTGGATTTTATTATTGTTATTTGCCAGTAAAGATTGGTTTAAAAAGCTGTTTTGAAAACACACAAATTTAAGAAGAATGTTTTAAAAGATACCTGAAATTTATAAACTGAGGATGAATATAGAGTACTTTACTGAGCAGTCATGTACTTAATGAGTGTTTTTATAGTGTGTCAGCAGTCCGAACCTTCATATTGCTTGCTACTAGTATTAGGAACCGATTTTTTCCTGAAGAATGTTCATCCCATTTCCTACATTTGTTTTTCAGCTTGCTTGGGAATACGGAATGCCATTTTTTGAGACCAGTGCTAAAGAAAACGTGAACATTGAGCATGCATTCTCAGTCTTGACTAAGGAAATCCTGGAAAAGGTAGGCTTCTTTTCCAAAGAGAAAGAAAATGGGAGATTTTTCTTGACAGATTGGGTAAACAAGGTTGTAACTACAGAAAGCTTAAGCAAAGCACAGCTGATGCTGGTTTTGCATTATGGAGTCAGTATTTTGGGGGATCCTGTAGCTGCAGGCATACAGAGGAGGAACATGGATGAGAAGAATTGTGGGAGAAGAGAAAAGCAGAAGAGGCAAGCAGGTGAGGCAAGACAATACAGTTCAGAGAGAAAGTGAAAATTCAGGAAGACTGTATTTGTGGCTTTATTTCCCATACTTTCCTTTAAGGGAGCAGTTAACAGCTCCCGAGTAGTTCCACTTCTGTGCCAGGAAGTTTCCTTTTTCCTCTGGGTTTCTGCAGAGTGTGCACACAGTGAAGATTCTGCATGATGATGGAATCAGTGTAGCTTTTATGTTCAGCAATCAAATGTTTTATCCAAGGTTCATAGCTGTTTGGTTGGTTGATTTACACTAGTGCTTTTGAAGTTACCAGGGCCTAAAGATTTGAGTTAATTAGTGGTAGAATCAATATTGTATCTGTCAGAATCAGCATCTCTCTAACTTCAATGTCTTGGCTTAAAGGTCCTTACTCTTCAAAGTTGCAATTCTTTTGTAGGACTGAATTATTGTTCATTAGCTCTGAAAATGTTTTTCATTGCAATTTATTTTTAGGCAACAGAATATTATTTTAGACTTTAATAGATGTTCTTCACGCAATGTATTATCACTGCCATTCATCACCAATATTAGTTATACAAAACTAACCTTCCACTCCAAATACTCTTCAAGTAATAATAAAGATAAATGAGCAAAATTACTGACAAAGTCACAAGTAGCAGTGTTTTGATTAAGTAGCCATAAGGGATGGTCAGGATAACAGCTCAGGGCTGGACTGCTTCTAAATTGGGGTCCTGTCATAGTACATAGTAACACAAGTTGTAGTTGGCAGTTTTGGGAGAGGAAAAAGAAAAGGCAAAAAAATCTTTTGGTTACTTTGACATGAAAGTGAAGCTCAGCAACTGAACAGTCAAATACTGTTTAGAACAGGAGGATAATGGCAGGCCCTTGAGTTACTGAGCTTGTTGGAAAAAAGTCTCAAATAAAATAACTGATTTTGTTTAAGTGAAAAAGGCATTGTCTACTGTAAATAGAGAATATATTGTCAGTATGAAACATGAAAACTACAAAACAATAGCTATGATCATAACTGCTGCAAAGACAAATATGTGTGAAGTGAGCATTTCTGCAGAGTGTTTGGATGATATCTAAGAAAATTCTCTGAACATGCAGAAATTATGTTTGGGTATTTTTCACATTAAGATTGCCTGCACTTACTTTATGGTAAGTGAAATTTCAGTATTCCAACTCACCTTCATGAAAATTCATGGGGTTTGTGGTGTGGACATGGCAAAAAAAATTCAAACCACGTTGAACATGTTACACTACTGCTTGGTTTTAATTAGAACTGCTTTGAACAGTTGTATGCTCTGCATGTATGTGTGTTTGGAAAATGTGCCCATGAGAATTTGTCATATATGTCTGTAGTAACATTTTACCTTAGCTAGAAATATTTGGAATCCTGATGAGGCATCATGTACCATTACTTTGGTGTATAATTCGCCATTTTTAGTAAAATGCATTTGTTGATTTAAACAAGAACCCCTTTAGCCCGATTGGTTTTACCGCTGGCCTGATAAAGAGTCTGCTGGGAAAAAAAATCTACCATACAGTTTCATCATGGTTTTCAGGTTCAACAAAATAATTTGCCTGTTCACAAAACTGTGAAATCTGAATGTACTACTTGAATTTTAACTTCCTCTAACTGATGAAATTTTGGAGAATGGAAAATGCAGTAGGAAGTGTGACTAGTAGCTGTGAAAAATGACATGATAGATGCCAGTCTGAGATAATTTCAGTCATACATCCATTTGGTAGTGGAGAAATACGTATTTGCTGATTGTAAAAAGGAGATACAGCTTTGCATAGTGTTTTGGCCCAAGGCACCTATGCCTGGGCATATCAGGCTTCCCTGTCCTCTGCAATGCACCACTCTGCACTTTCCACTGAAAGCATCTGTCCCAGACTTATGAGATGCTTTCAGTGGAAGCACATCATTGCTTTCCCAGTCCCACAGAAGAAAGGAACTCCCTGGGACAGTCTATTATGGCCACGCTTTTGAGAAGTGCATGAAGCTTACTCAGAGATAAGATAAATAAGCAGGGTAGGCTGGCAGGCAGTAGACCGTTCTCAGATGTATTGCAGTAGACTGTATTAATCTGAGGAAATCTAGGACTTTTTATGTACATTCTTGCTTGCCATCTACTGTGGACATGTCCTTGGTAACTTCATTTACACAAAGCAGTCCTGTAGATGGGGAAGATTGATGTCCAGAGTTATAGAGCTCATACAGAAGTACTAAACTTCTTGATTCTTTCAAAAATTAGAACAGGTTGTGGTTCACTGGTGGGTTGGGGGAAAAACTTATTAAAAAGTTTCATATTAAAGACATTTAAACAGTGCAAAACAAAAAAGCTCAAGTGTTTCAGTGTATTGTCTCTATTTTGTAAACTGTGGTTTCCCATCTCTTTTTGCAGTTTGTCTTGTAGTGGGCTTAAGGAAGAGAGAACACTTCTGTATCCCAGTGATCTGGATAACTAAAGTGCTGCTTGACCTTTCAGATACTTTTCGTCTCAGCCATTCTATGCTGGGTCTTGTCCTGCAGCTGTAATTTACATGGGCAGTCTCATTAAAAGCATCAGATGTTTTTTTGAGATTTTTTTTTTGCTTACATTGCTAACAGCTAAAGAGTCATGTCATATTTCTGAGAACTCACAATTTTCAAACCAATCAGTTAATAATAACTGAAGGCAGAGGAGTTTTAACTTCCTCTGACTGACAAGTGTTTGGAGAAGGGCAATCATAACCAATTTGATTGTATTTGAAAGGCTGCAGTAAAATAAATGTTAATGACAGAGATTATTCCAGGAGTTTGCTTAGACATGTTGACAAATAACAGTATTTTATTTATACACAAGTCTTATGAATCTCAGCTACGCCTAAACCTGTTCATTAATAGATGACAGCTGTTCTTTGACAATGCTTCTGGTTGCCAGTGAACTATTTGGATTTGTGAGTCAGTCCTCTAAAAACAACCAAAACCAAAAAAATATCACCCAGAATGCAGTTAGCATTTGCCCTTTTGTGGTCTTTGGTTTCATGCCTAGCAAGCAGTAGTGTTCTCAAGTAGGTTTTCAAAAAAATATTACATGCCTTTGTATGTGACCTTTTGGGTGTGATTGTTGGTATTTTTCTAAACTAGGTTTGGGAGAGAACTACATTTAAAAAAAAAAAAAAAAAAAAAAAAAAAAAACCACAACAAAAAACAAAAAGAAGAATGAAGTTATCACCGTTTTTCTGAAAACTGTAATAAAATTAACCAAAACTGATATTCTGTCTACCTCCCAAGAGTGATTGACTACTAAGACTATTTTAATCATATTAAATAAACATATATCGCCTGAGTAGAGAGCAGTGAAAATCCATTTAAGACCTTGCCCTGTGCTGTTGAGAGTAACATTTAATGTTTAACAGCTGGATGTCATTTGAGATGAACATTCAGAAGTAGCAGTCCTCAATTTTGCCCTTCCTTCATTTCTTTACACTTCTTTCCTGTGGCAACAATATTGTTGAGATTATGCTGTGTTTTCTATTCCTTTGCTCTTAAAGTACCTTTGGAACTTCTTAGCTGGTTTTAAACAAATTTGACAGATCAAACTGAAAGATAATTAAGTTCCTGAGTAGTTCCTTGAAAATAAGGTGAGAGGCAGAGTACTCTGAAGAAGGAAAGTCTCCAGCATTAGTTCATAGAATATTAGAGACCACTACACAGAGAGACTGAAAAATACTTCGACCAGATACTCCAGCTGGAGCTTGCATCACAGATATCAAATTTAATTCACTTCAAGACCTAAATCCATAGGAAATCAGATTTCATTATTGCTGAGGTTCGTGGAATTGTTAGTTTGTCTAAAGATCCCTGTGTCTCCAGCAGTGCATACTCAGTGTTTCTTTATTACCCTTAGTCATGCATGGAGCCCCAGGCTTTATTTGCCCTTTATTTGTCTTGTACTGACCACAGAGTATTAATTCCTTCAAGAGCTTTTTCATAATGCTTGTACTGTTGTACTTCAGATCCATTTTAGATTTTTATCTCCTTAACTTTCTTAGTAACATTAGGTATATTCAGCATTGCACATGTGGGAACAGAGGTATAGAGATTAAAGCAAAGAGGATAAATGGTACCAACTCACTTAGTTCTGGTGCAATGTAAAGCAAAATTTAACTACGCTATCTTATTTAATTTTTTTAAAGTCTGTTCTGGACATTGAATGAGCCAGATATTTTTCTGGAAACAGTAGCATATAATTAGGTCATGTAAATCAAAACTTAATCACATCATCTGTGTATAGGGGATGAGACTCATCTTAGCGTGCAATCTTAGCCAGCTAAAATTTGCATGACTGGTCTGGTTGTCTGGAATAATCTCTTTTCAATGGAAGGAGATGAGTCTTTAGGATAAAATTGTGTTTTGGAGGTGCCTTTCTCCCTCCATTGATTATGGAGGCCTCCATATTTCAGCCTATGATTCAAATTTCATAGGATTCAAATTAAATAAATTCAAGTCCAGGAGAAAAAAAAAGAAAGTTACAGACTTGGCTTACTTCTGGCATTTGCATCTACAGGATATTAACTTTGAAGATATTATTGCTCTCTTAAATAGAGTTTTTGTGATGCAACTATATTAAACATTACCTAGATGATCTGTAGGGTTGAGGAACTTCACAGGAGATCCACACTTGTCTTCTCAAGTTTGTGAATAACTAATTGCAGGACAACATTGTTTACAGTCTACCCGGTAGTAACAGGAGAGGGAGATAGAGCCCCATGCTTTGCCAGTGGGTTAGATGTTTCAGACATGGCAGAATAGCAGGCTTTGGGAGCAAGACCTTCATCAACATTCCTTGAGGAATGTAGTCAGCAGTTAGATCCTGCTTTGCCAGACCTTGTATCCTCCTTTCCTGCTCCTGTACCTGTTCCCACAGTGATTGCCTTCCCTGCTAATATATCCCTAGCCCTTGCTTAATACTGCTTGTGCCATGTCCAGCCCATTGTGATTGTGAGACTACTCTCTTGCACTTTGAACACGTAATTTGAATTTCTGAATATGGGGAAAATACATATAAAGTGTCAGGACTATTAATAACTGAGCTCTCTCTAATGGCAGGTCAGGCACTAAAGTCACATGGGACTTCATTTCATGAAGTTCTCTGCCAGTCTTTGTCAACTGTCACTGTTAAATATAAACAAAATGATTGGAGTAATTAAGTAGGATCGTTTTTTAATAAGAGTAAAAATCCTCAAATTTAAGGAAGTTATAAATAATGGTAACCTTAGTTCTAGTCTCTTCTGTTTGTTTCTCCAAAGCTTCTAATTTTTCAGCAAGCACTCCAGGTCCGACTTTGACTGGGAACATGATATAGATAAAGCAAAATCCTGTCACTCTTTCAAACCCACAGTGAGCCCCACCTTCAAAATAACTTAACCAGTATCAGAATACCAAAAACTGGTGTTGGAGAAGGTGGATCCACCGTTAACCTGAGTAGGTTTTCAGCAAGGAATGGGCAGCTGAGCTTAATGGAGATTTATATATTTACTCCATTAGAAACCTTTCAGAGAGGTTGTTGGGGTTTTTTCATTACATTTTCCTTTGTATTCCACCCTAGCTTTCGTGCCTTGGTTAAAAAAAGAAAAAGAAAAAAAAAGGTAGCTGAGCTGTCTCATCACAATTCCTCTGTCTAGGTATCTATTGCATGCCAGTGATACAAATTCTGCTTAGAAGTGGGCAGGAGAGACAGCCAGAAGGGAAGTTTTAAGCAGGAAGTTTAAAACTGGCTTGTAGAGATGCCTGCCAGTTAGGTGAGACATGTCTGCTGTGCTATTTAACAGGAAAAACTAGTATTTAATAGCAGGAAGTTTCAGCATCTTACTGAAATCACTGCAGGGTACAGAGGCATCTGTGTCTGGGCGGCGTTTTCAAATCCTCACTTTGCCCAAGATACTGAAGTGGAAACTCCACCTTCTTGGTACCATTTTGGATCTTCTCACCTTTCCACAGTTTGTTGGCTGACTAGTGGGGCAGTGAGTTACAAGCACCTGAGCTGAAATGTGAGCTGGAAGTGTTAGTGTTCATGGAGCCCTGGAGGAGGAATGCCGCCTGCCTTGTTCTCACAGGTGGGAGAGATTTGCATACCTCCCTGCTATAATTTCGGGAGAGGGGGTGCCCCACCTCTCCCAAGGCTTGGCTGAGGCTGAGCACTACGTGGGATTGCCCAAATCTGATCATTGCTTCAGCGCTTTATGCCGGACTTGTAGTATCTCTTTAGATTATGAATGTGCACTTTTTAAATATGTGTGCAGCACATTTGCTTAAACAGATCCCAGGTCCTTATTTGCTTCACAAAGGCCCTATATGGAACAGTCTTACAAACTGAAGTGATTAATAGTCCTCAACTTTTAAATGAATTTTAAAATGGCTGTTCTTTATTTTTGTGGAGTGGTGGTTCTTGTCTGTCTGTCCTGGCTAGTTCGTAAATGAACTAACAAATAATGACTTTAGAGATTATAAGAAATGTTGCATTATCAAATATGTTTCATCATTCTTAATCACTTAACAGTACTGAGGATCTTTGCCAAGGACATATGAAGAGCTTACTTATCATCTAAAAGTACTATTGAGTAGTAAAATAGTAAGGATGCAAATAAGTATCCTAAGTGTTTAAGGAAATGTAAGTTTCTCCCTTTTGACTGGAAGCATGAAGTTTGGTCTTGAAGTATAATCTGCAACATCTTCAAATTACCTGTTTCCTCTAAGTAAGTGAAACTTGAATTCTGAAACTGTTCAAACAGGGATTTTCTAGAGCACTTTTACTACCTAAAGTGGTTGTTTTCTCCAGAAAAAGCAGGGGTGAAACAAAACCTATATAGTTGATGTTCACAACAATCAATGCTCAGTGTTATTTCTTGGTCTCTATTGAGTGAAATTAAATTTCCTCCTGTACCATTATCTTCCAAAGCTTTTATTTTCCCCTCAGACTCTTATCTCTAAATCAGAGTGGTATCTTGTTTCTTGAGGTGACAAGGTTATATTTGTGTAATTTTGATTCTGCCTTGCTCCCTTTTTTAAAAAGATCTTCATACTTTTAATTTACTGAATATGCTTACAGACTATCAAATACTGTCTCTGCCTAGCAGACATCATAATAGCTAATGCCTGTACTTCCCACAACTGTGTAAAAAGTTAAAACTAATCAGAAGCTATAAAGCTGCATGTTGGTATTTGTGGGAATTATCAAGGGTAATAAAAATGCTATGTCTTTTGGTCCTTCCTACTCAAAAAATAAATCTGAAAACAAACAACCCCAAGTAAAAGTGCACCTGTTGCTGTATTTCTTCATTATGTGGAGAATTCATTATGACAAGAAATTTCTAAAATCAGTAAAATCAGTAAGCAACAGTCTTGGGATATTCTAGTCAGTAGACTAGACGGTATTTGCTAATAATTTTACTGATGAAAGATTCAGCATCCATCCTGGGGTTTAGACACCACAATACATTTCCTGCCCTCTGCTCCTTCCTCTATCCATCACTTTTGATCCCTTCCCAGATGTTTCATGTTCTCCCCCAGCACCACGCACTGTGGAAGCCTCCCTGGGTCCCTGCAGCCTCAGGGAGGAATGAGTTCAGCCACTTGCTTTGTGGGGATGGCTCTGGCACAGTGCAGCCAGCACTCTGGAAGAGCTGGAACTATGACTAGAGAAGAAAAAAGGAAATAAATTCCATGCATCTTCTCCAGAATTTTAAGAAGTTATGAATATTCTCAGCCAAAGAGGCATAAAGCTTATTTGTAGCACAAGGGAGACTTTATATTTTGCCCTCGTTCTGATGCAGCCGAGTAATTTTAGGTGAATCTTTCTGGATGTAGTCAATGTTCAACTACCCTGTGACTTTCTATCTGTAAGTTTTCAGTTCTGAGTTGTGATTAGTATTGTACTTAACTACATGATGCCTTTTTTTCTCTTCTTCCTTTCTTTTTTTCCTGTGCTTTGGATTTCATTCATTCCAGCTTAGATAGCTGTTGTTTCTGGAAGCTTCTCTTTATTGTCAGACATGACTGTTTATGGCTGTTGGATTTGGGTTGAGAGAGGAATGTGGTGAATCCAGTGGTTGCACTTATTTCTCCATGCTTGGTTGGTAAACCTGC